TCGAATAAACCTGTGGAAAACTTGGAATTGGCTTTTGAGGTTGCGCATCACTCAACGTTGGCCTGGATAGTCATTTGGATTTAACAAGTATATAACCGTTATAAACACCAGGTAGCTGATCATAATACTTTACGTTATCTACGACACATTGTGACATATATTTGCGCTTTTATGGCCAGCAACTACCCTCAATCATCACTGCAATAGCCTCATAATTACTATATTCTACGGGATGGGGGAACGGAATAATGGATGGGGTATAGCAGTTTTCAATCAAATCAGTCAGATTCAATGTGAAACAAAAACAACGAGAAATCTTGTGGGAAACCATCTCTGTTTCATTTTTTTGACGGAAATCAACCGCATGTGCTTCCATCAATTCCAGTGCACATCGATCTGAGACCTCAAACCCATTTAATCACCGAACAACTGATCTAACCATAAATCCAAATTCGCAGGAGATGAGTTACCTTTTGAGGAAGAAACACTATGACCGACTGGTCTGCTACCTCTGAAGCACGTGCTTTTAAAGTTGGAGAATGATCGACTAATCGACTCAGCTAAAAATATATCGTTGGGTTTCCATTTTCATCAATGCATTGTCGTTCAACGAATCACACCTGGAAATTCTATCCTTTTTCGCCTGAAATTATGCACTATAGTTCTACCGTTGGCACCGATTCTTTTGCGGTAGCTGTGTTTAAAATGTATTAGTGTATATCTGCCAGGACCATTGGCTATATTTTAGATTAAAACACTGATGATGACAATGGGGACAATGTTGATCTCACTGATGGGCGAATGTTTCTGCCTATCGGTTAAATTGTACTAACTACTTACCTGTAGTATATGACAGATGGTTATTGTTAATTCATTTTACTATTTTTTTCTTCCTCGTTTTACTCTCTTTTATTGAACATACAAAGATAAAAGTTTCAGGAAGGGGGAAGCGGCCAATCAAAGGAATGCCATTCGACACACAATGGGGAAAGCCAGACTTTGGTGGTGGGATTAGAACACATACCCGGGGTGATAATTTGGTGACATTACCACCGGGCCAACACCACTCCCACATCCCGCATCAACTCAGCAAAAGGGTAAGCACAGAGCCAATAACATTAACTCAAGTAATTTCTTTAACCGAAAGAAACGGCGTGATAAGTCGCAGTCTTGATGTTAGCTATTTTTGGAGTGGAGCAGTGAAATTACCTCGAAAATGCAAACCCATGTAACTGTGCGATCCACGAGATTCCATTCAAGGTGGATCAGCAAATGTCATTCGTTCTTCTACTAAGTAAAGGATTACTCTTAAATTTTGTCACCAAAACGAGAGGTCTTCAAATTATCAATACCAAAAGAAATCAACTGATTAAAATTTTCTTCATTAGCACTTAGTAGGCGGAAAATGATTTTCTCTTTTATGTTGATAAGGCTTTTCGTTTATTTTGAGCGTGTTGAAAATTGGTATCTCTAATTTTTTGAATGAATTTTGGGATTAAAAACCTAAATAAATATCATATTTTGATCCAATAACCCTACTGTCAATCAAAGCTTTTGACAACGATATAGTCAGTTAATCGTCATGTATCTCCACGACTTTCTTCTTCCATAAATCATACGCTTTTGTACAATAAACTATTTATCTGATACTTCCAACTATGTTCTACTTTCCTACTCGTGAAATCACTGGATAAACGAAACAAATTACCGAAGGACGATCATTTGGGAATGCAATATTGAGACAAATCCACTCAGGCTTGACTGAAAGATCAAGTCCACAGAAGGAAACTGGATTGAGAAACGGTGGAATTGAGCTTTGAATGAAACCGTGGGATCCGAAAAATCAAACTTTCAGGTAGATGCACTAGTGACTACACTCATTTAACAATGAGACTGAAGTTCAAATGTCACACAGCCTGTCTTAATCAGATCATCGCATACACGGCAGATTCTCTCTGTAACTTTCCATGAAAAGCTCCGATCGTGCAGGTTCACCTCTCTTACATAAAGACGGTGGAATTCAATTAATAAACCGAATGACTACTGTTTCCTCTGGAATTAGGCTACAAAAGTTATTCTCTCCCCAACTCTTGATAAACCATTTTACGGGATACGACACAAAAAAACTTGTTTTAATATTGTATTATTTTTGTAGATATTCGTGATCTGTATTCACTAGATAGGCTGAAATAGACAGAAAATAATGAAAACGTCTTAAATCCGTGCGATGTAACTTGGTGACAAATGTATTTGCATCCCATGAGGTGATTGTGATCTGTCGAATTCTGTTTTCAACTTGCTCTCTGACCTGATTACTAGCATATACAATGCTGGCACCTTGTTTGACTCGAGTCGTTGTGTAAATAATTAAATAGCTTACCCCAAGCTTTTACCTCGATCTATTGTCTTCTAGCAGAGTAAGGCAAATGGAGAACAAATAGACTAGGACAGTTTATTTGTTCAACAATCACAAACTAATTGTTCCGTATTTAGATAATGATGCCCTACATAAACTGCACAGATTTCATAACTAGCGAAGATTTCGTTACCCTTCTTTTATAATACACCATTTATCGAGAGCTTTGTGGATTGTTTTTCATTACATGAAACTATCCAATATGATGCATGTAACACAGTGATCGATCACAAATGCTTGACAAATAGAATCAAATACGAACTGTCGAAGCAAAAACCTGCAGCAAAGAAAAACCATCCATCCGCATTTGAACCAGATGATGCACAGAGAAAAGTAATGCAGAATAAATCGTGACTGTAAGTTTTGAGACAGAGCGCCTGGGAATAC